TGGGCACAGAGGTGCCGGGGCCCCTGCCACGTCTCGGGCGCCGGCTTCTTCCTCCAGACCCCGACTCCCTTCCGTCCAGGGCCCCCTCCCCCACAGGCCCCCGGGCTTGCCCGGCACCCCCACAGGGCCTTGCCACGTGACGCCCCAGGTGGCAGGGGGTGTCCACCAGCCATCTCAGGACAACGGCAGCACACGGTCTGTGGATGCGCTAATTAGCGCAGACAGCTGGTGTCTAATTATTTCACCTGACTCGCAGAAGATTCAGAGACTGCCTGCTCTGGGCGGGGGGCGGGGGGGACGGGAAGGGCAGCTGGCGAGGGGCCCTCGGCGCCGGGCAGACGCCTGAGGCAGCCGCCCCAAGGGGAGGCCTGGGCTCCGGGCGGGACAGGGCTGAGGCGCAGAGGAGGCGGGCGGACACAGCGCTGCCCGCACCCCAGGCTGAGGGCCGCGCGGGCCGGGGCGCTCCCGGCGTCTCCGAGAACGCAGGGCAGAGGCCGCGCGGCAGAGCACTTGCTGGCCCGTCATATGCCGCGGACACAGTGCCGGTAGCCGGGCGCTTGGCAGGGGTGCAGTGTACGGGGCACACGGCGGTGCAGGGGCTCAGCCAGGACAGGAGGGTCCCGGGTGGGCCGTCCCTACTCAGGCGCGGGCTCTCTCCACTGGACGGTGCAGGTTTTCTGGGGGGACATCTGTGGAGGCTTCAGATCTGCAAGGTCGGCTTGAAGGTCTGAAGGACGGGGTTGGGGGGGAGCAAGGACCCGGCGTCAGGGCCGGACGATGGTCCAGCGCAGGACGCGGACGTGGCTGGGGGGGGGGGGAGGCCCGCTCACGGCCACGCAGGACTCGGGTGGGGAGAGCTCGGCTGAGCAAACGGTGAAGATGGGGCTCGGGGCCCCGGGAGAGACTCCGGGTGCTGTTCTAAGCAAGAAAGGAGGCCACAGAAGGTACTGATCTGGGCGACAAGTGACTGGAGACTGGGGGCAGAGGGTCACGGGGCGCGGAGGTCATTGTGCTTCACCGCGGTAGCTCACTGGTCTGTCAGAGGGTGGCCCCCAGCCCCTGGGCCCCTGCACACAAGGGGTCACCCCTGGGCTGTCCTGGTCTGATGGTTTTGTGGGGGTGAATGAACTGAGCCCCCCCTCCCGATGAACCCAGATTCTCCCAGAACTATTCCTGGAGTGGTCACTGGGCAGGGTGTGGGGGGCCCGGTGGGGGCTGGCGGGGGGCCGGGTGCAGGCGTCTGGAAGACAGACCCCGCAGCGCCAGAGACTGACCGGTTCAGCCGGGGTCAGGAGCGGGCGTGCTGGCCGTCAGCCGCTGACGGACGGGCACGTCGCATCTCCCAGGAAGCGGCGGTCTGTGGGGGCGGGGCTGGCAAGGCCCTGAGCCGCGGCGCACGCGTGCAGCCCCGCTCGAGGGCGCCTCCTGCTGCCTGGCTGGCGGGCTCACGGGGTGGCCTGTGCCCTCAGGTGTCACATCTCCTTGCTGTCCTGTCTCTCTGATCAGCCAAACCTGACTCTCGAGGACCCTGCCGCCTGTCACGGCCACTCCAGTCCCCTCTGTCAGCTGCCACCATGGCGCCCGTGAGGGGGGCGGGGCACGAGAGGGCGTCTCAGAGAGGTTCCCACGGACTCCACGGCAGCCTGCTCGGCCCCCCACCCTGGGGATCAAGGTGGATGGCCGTTACCTCAGGGTGGGGTTGTTAGAAAGAGCAAATAAAAATACAAATATACCACCCACTTAAACTGGAACTTCAGACAAACAACTAACTTTTAGCATAAGTACGTCCCACACGGTATTTGGGATGTACTCACACTAAAGAGGACTTATTTTCTGGAGCTCACATCTAACTGGGGGTCGTGTGCTTCATCTGGCAGGAACACAGCCCCTCTGCCTGGCCCAGGCGCGTCTCTGGGACTGTCCCCCCGAGGGGGCTGGGGGCCGGGCCAGCATCCTAGCGATGCCGCGCCCTCCAGCCTCAGGGCAGCACGAGAGGTGCGGCCCGGAGCTCCGAGACGCAGGGCTGGCGGGAGAGCCGCCCCCAGCTCCCCACCCCCGCAGGGGAAGACAACAGCACGATGGGGAGTGGGCCTCCCTCGGCCTCTGCGCGTGGTTTAGGTCCGCTGACGGACTTGGGGCTGGATGAGGCAGAGAGGCCGCGCTGTCCGCCCCTGGACACGGGGGTCACAGGTGGGCACGCGGGCGGCGCCCGAGATGTGGCCGGCAGCAGCGAGGACACGAACATCGGTTTCAAGGGCCGCACGTGGCTGGTGGCGACATGGAGCCCACCCCGGAAGGGCCACCCCTTCCCCCCCTGGAGCTCAAAGGACGCCCGTTGCGCTGTAGGAACCCTGAGAAAAGCAGGTCAGGAGAGTCTCCCCCAAAGTCATGTCCACCTGGAGCCCCCGAATGCGCCAGAGGGGGTCACACTGGGCTAGGGGGGCTCAGAGCCAATGACGGTGAACTCATAAGAAGAGGGGACACAGAGACACACACAGAACAGCCATGTGGCCCGGAGGCAGAGCCGGGAGTGCGGGGCCACCAGCCAGGCAGGGTCCGCAGCCGCGTCCTCCCCTCGGGTCTCCGGACGGACCCGGGGCCTGTCCACACCGGGCCGTGGGCTTCTGGCCTCTAGAGGTGGGACACGGGGGGTTTGGAACTTTGTTACCACATCCCTGGGAGACTCAGCCTTTCCAGAGGCAGCGATGGGGCCGGCCCTGGGTGGGGGGCTTCCGGCCCCTGGCCCACCCCCCCCCCATGCACATGGTGCTTTCTCTGTAACCCCTGCTGCTTCCGGAATGTACTTATTTACTGGGTGATTTCTCCCTTGCCCGCGTCTCCTTCCCACAAAGTGAGCCCACGCGTCCTGGGAGCCCATGTGTGCCTGGTGGTTTCCAGCACATACAAGGTCCTTAGTTAAAGTTTTTGACCGAACGAAGGAACGTGCTGAGTGGAATCTACGATTTCCTGACACAAGTTAGCCGTATGATGCGTAGCATTCAGGAAAAGCAGTTGCTGGTCATGCGTCCCAGAGTAGGCAATGTGGTCGTTTCTACCAGCCCCCAGAGTTCAGAGCAAGGTCACCTCCTCTGAGAAGCCTCCCTGGATTTCTCCATTGTGGGAGGACCTCACCTGTACACGACACTGTGTCATGTGATCCCTGACACCCCCCTGTGGCACACTCCTTTAACTTCTGTCCTTCACCCCCTTCGGGGACAGGCCTCCATCCAACGAGCCTTCCGCGCCCGTGCCTCCCCCAGCACCTGTGTCTGAATCTGCTAGGCGAGGAAGGCGAAGACTGCGTGGGGCTCCCCGATGGCCCTCCCGTCCGGAATCGCTGTCACGGCGTCCCCCTCCCCAGCTAACGACAGAGCCTCCTGGGGGCCCGCGGGGGGCAGTCCCTTGTCCCAGCCCCTGACTCCAGGGCCTGGTGTGGCCCGAGCGGCGTCTGTCCTGGCCCCCGGGAGGGCGGTGGGGCATTGACGGGTCCCCAGTGCACACGTCCTCACCGACGCCGCCAGGACGAGAAAACCGCACCTGAGCACCTACGGCCAGTTCGCCCCCCCTGCCACGGCCGACGCCTCCCCCCCGCCCACCAGGCTGGCATCACCGTGTCCGTGTCTCAGAGGGAGGGCACTGTGCCTGGCGCTCAGGGCTCGCCCCTAACGTGCTGGCGGCCACGCAGCTGGAGGGCCGCCCTGCATCCCGCTGAGCCCCACGTTGCAGAAATGACCTCCCGCGTGACCTCCCCCCACCCCCCCACCCCCGCCTATAATTCAGCAATTCTAAGGAAAGCGCCTCATGCCTTCCCTCCCGGGGGGAGGGGTGCGGTGCAGGGAGCACTTCCCTCCCGGGGGGAGCATTTCTCCTGCTGCAACCTGGCCTTTATTGGGTTAGGAAGGCGCAGGTAGGGAGGCCTGGCGGGACGGCTCCGGCGGCTTCGGCGGGGGGAGGGCTGGCTCAGGTGTGAGGCGGCCCCCTCTCCACGCCCGCAGGGCCACCAGGGGTGGCGCCCGGTCGGGGACGGGAGAGCCTGCCGCAGCGCTGCCCTGCTCGGGGCCCCGCCCAAGGCGAGGTCCCCAGGCCCGAGGATGCGCCCACGGCACTTTCGAGGAGGGAGCCACTGGCCAGCAAGACGAGTGTGGCCAGGAAGCGGCTCCGCCAACAAGCCCCGCGAGGACCCAGGGGCAGTGCCTGCTGGCTCCGAGCTCAGCCGCGGTCTCCTCCCAGCCCTGGGGGCCGAAGGCTTTAGGGGGTAAACTGAGTCACATGTCCTAGAGCAGACATGCTGGCCTGCGGTCACAGAGCACACGGAGGTTGTCATCCTGTCATCGAGGCCCGGAGGCGGGAGAATGGTGCTCACCTGTGAGGCTGGGAGTGCCCGGGGCTGCCCCCTGGGGGCTCCCAGCCGAATCGTCCAGGGCCCCGGGCAGTGTCCTCTGTCCACACGGAGCACGTAGCCCAGCGCCTGGGGACCCCCGACTTGGTGGGGAAACGCCTCTCCTGTGCCAGCAAAGCCACCTTATCCTCCCACGGGGTCTGCCCTGGGTGGGGTCCGCACGACGGGGTGTGACACGGGTTCCGACCTTGTGGGGTCCCAGGAGGAGTCGGGAAGGTGACAGGCAACCAGCAGTGGCCCCAGTGAAAGGTACTGCCCCCCCTGGGGGCCCCACTTCATCCCGGGGGGGCAGCGGATGGCCTGCCACGTGGACACCAAGGTCGCGCGGCAGACGAGCTCTAGGCGTGGCTGTGCCAGTTCCCAGACCCGGGGCCCTGCTGTGGGGCATCCTGAGACCCACAGAGCTTTGCCCCCGCTTTTCTGAAGCCTCGACTCCTCGGCACGCGTCCAGCCGGCCCGTTCTGGAAAGCGCACGCGGCGGCTCCGGGCAACACTGGGGACGGCTGCTTCGTTGAGACCCTGCCCCTCCTCCGCCCGGCGCAGTAGGAGACGAGCCGCCTGCGCACCCGACCTGGGCCCCCGGCCCCACGTCCCGCCTCACCTCCCGGTCCAGGCCAGCCGCCACCGTCACGATGTCCCCCGTCTCGCTGTTGATGGTGAACATGTTCTGGGACGGGCTCTGCGGGGTCTGGGTCACGATCCGGTACCGCACCATCCCGTTGGCCGTGGTGCTGTCATCGGCGTCGTTGGCCGTGACCGTCATCACGTAGGTGCCTGCGACAGAGAAAGCGTCTCGGATGGAAATTACCCGCTGCGCCTGCTGCTGCGTCCCCGCACACACCCAGGGCAGACACCGCCAGCCGAGCACAGATCCGCGTGGAGGCCGATGGGGCCGCCCGTCTTCCCCACGCCACGTGCCCATCGTGGGAGATGGTGCTGGAGGCAAACCTCCCCCACGTCCGCACCGAGAGCCTTTGCGGGATTTCCTCTCCAGCTCAAGGCTCAGGCCTGCCTTCCTCTCAGCTGCGGGAGGACCCGGCCCTCAGCCTATGCTGGGGCCTGTGGGGCCGGCGGGGCCGGGCCCGGGGGGCGTGTGGCATGGAGGGGACACGGGGGGTGGTGCAGACGTGGGGATGTGGGCGGCACGGGAGTCAGATGTGCCAGGGAAGGGGGTGTGGCACGGCAGGGACGTGGAGGCGCGGTGGGGACTCAGGGACGTGGGACGTCGGGGTGCAGTGTGGCAGGGACGGGAAGGAGAGCTGTGGCGCAGCAGAGACGTGTGGCGAGGACGGGGACACGGGGCGCACAGAGAAGGACCAGGGCCGCGCGCTGGGCGGGTCCGTGGAAGGCATGGAAAAGTGCCTGGTGGCACAGGGAGAGCGAGAGTGGAGAGGAGCCCCCGCAGGGGGCGGTGCAAACGGGGAGGGGGCTGCGTGCGGGGGTGCCTGCGGGACGCCAGCTGTCACCCCGGGCTCAGTGCTGCTTCCCCGACCACGTGCCAGGGCCGAGCTCTGTGGCGGGCGATGGCACATCTCTGCCTCGTGACCACAAGCCCTTTCGGCGTCCACCCTTCCCGGGCTGGATCAGCACATCCCGCCCCCTGGGCCCAGTGACGGGTTCAGCCGCGGGCGCCTTACCCATCAGAGCCAAAGGCAATAGAGGCCTTTGCTGGGGATTCTGGGGTCTGCCCCTGGATCTGCCTGGCCCCGGGAGTGAGGTTGGGGACCATGGGCACTTTGTGGCCACAGATAGACAGAAGCACAGTGCCGTCTCAGGTGACAGCTTCTCACCAGGAAGCCCCTGGATCAAGCCGCACCTGAAGCCATTCCCCAAAGACTTTTTAGGCATCAAGACTTTTTACGGAACAGTTTTAGGTTCACAGCAAAACTAAGCAGAAGGTACCCCGTAGACTTCCTGTAACTGAGCCTGGGTGGCCCCTGCTTGCCTTGTGCCACTTCACTTTGAGTTTCTGTCACGTGCTGCTGAGGCTTGCCCGGCACCACCCCCAGCCCTGGGCCCCTGTCCTGAGCGCATGTGTTCAGGTCCCTTGCTCCCTGTCTGGGACAACGAGCTGCCCAGGGCCCTGCGGGGTGCGGGCACCTCTTTGACGGGATCCTTTCTTGGGGGCTGTTTGTCTTGAGCTGGGGCTGAACTGGCCTTGGGGCTTCAAGCTAGGTCTCCAGGCCTGAGAAAGGGAAGGGAGGAGGGGAAGGGAGGAGGGGGAGGGGGGAGGAGGGAGGGGGAGGGGAAGGAGGGGGCTCTAAGCACCCAGAAGCCCCGTCAGCGGGGCCTCCGTTTCCTCATGAGCTCCTTGACCAGGTCCCTGCTCCCCACACGGCCCTGGTGAACCAGGAAATGAGTTTCAGGGACCAAGGTTCCCAACCTTTAAACTCCCAGGCTCAGAGTCAAATTTGGTGCCTTGTGAGAGAGTTCTGGGGGCAGAGTGTGAGCAGTCTGGATGCCGCTGAGGCTGTCGCCGTCCGCGCCCCGCCCGGTCAGTCCGTGCCCTCTCGCTGCGCCCCGCGGCCCCTGGTGCCCGTGTTAAGACCCGCCCTTTAGTTTGGGCCATCACAGCACCGTGTGAGACGCAGCAGCCTCAGGCTGCCAGACTCAGGAGTCTGCTTTTTAGAACCAGATGAGATGCTTCTAACAATTCTTTTCTGATCATGGAAATAAAGCACATCCCGTAGCCAGTGGGCCTTCCCTGGAAGCTGCCGAAGGAAGCACCCGCCCGTGACCAGGTCCCCACGCCTGCCCGGCTCCTTCGCTTCGTGTCTCCCGTCAAGGATCTGAATTTAAAATCTTTACCACTGAGAGCCTTTCTTTTTTTTTTTTTTTTAAAGGAATTTTATTACTGATCAAAGAAATGAAAGGAAGGCATTTTTCACCTACCAAAAAGGCAAACACTATTTGAAAATAATGATGATACAGGGGCGCCTGGGGGGCTCAGTCAGTTAAGTGACCGACTTCAACTTGGGTCATGATCTCACGGTTCATGGGTTCGAGCCCCGCGTCGGGCTCTGTGCTGACAGCTCGGAGCCTGGAGCTGCTTCGGCTTCTGTGTCTCCCTCCCTCTCTGACCCTCCTCTGCTCACGCTCTGTCTCTTTCTGTCTGTGTCTCAAAAATGAATAAATGCTAAAAAAAATAACGATGCTACAGAAGAGCAGTGACATACAGGGGGCCTGGGACTCCTGCCCCCCCGCCCCCCCCGGGAGCAGACGGCCTCAGCCTCCGGAGCCCCGAGCCCTCTGTCTCTCTGTATCCAAATGCCTTTAAAATGTGTCCAGTTAAGAAATCCACTTGCAGGAATTTGTCCTAAGGAAAAAATCACAGATGTGCACTAGGTGATTGATTCGTGCCCTCGGCTGTCCATGCGGACATGGCTCCCGACAGCAAAGTGTGAAATTCTCAGCAAAGACTTATTAGACGCCCACTGTGTACCGAGCGCCGTGTCCGGCATTGCAGGTCAGTGAGCAAAGCAGAGAAGATTCCTGAGGCACCGGGGTGTGTGTGTGTGTGTGTGTGTGTGTGTGTGTGTGTGTGACTATTCAATCTGCAGCATGAGGACCTTTGTAGGGACAGAATGCTCCGTTCCTTGCCTGTATGACCCCCGATATCCTGGCTAATGATACCGTGTGGTTCTGCCAGACCCGACTGAGACACTGAGCGCACGAGCATACAGCAGCCAACCAGACGTGAAGGCAGAGCTCTAACACACCACCCACAGGGTCCAGCCCGGGGAGGGGGGTGACCCGCCACCTGCAGGGACCAGCCGGGGAGGGAGGGGAGGAGGGGGGCCCACCCGCCGCAGGGACCAGCCCGGGAGGGGGAGGGGAGCCCACCCGCCGCAGGGACCAGCCCGGAAGCACAGCTCTCTGCAGGTCAGACGTGGAGGAACTGAGACCCTCTTTCTCCAGTGAGAACCCAGGAAGCCAGGCAGCAGCCCAGCAGCAATTAGCCCAGGACTTGACGAGTCACTGAAGCTTCCGTCTAAATCCCTGCTTCTGACCCAGGGCCAGCCAGGGCGTGCCCCCAGGGACCCCCTCGTGTGCCCCGCCCCATCAGGACACACCGGAGAGGCCCCTCCTCTCACCACAAAGCTCTCAGCTCCTCTGCCCCTTTGGAGTCTCTGCCCAACACGGGAGGTGGCGGCCGCCCGGCCCCCTTGCTGCGGCGGCTCTGGACACACAGCCTTCGCTCTTCCGCACGCGGGCCCCGCACATTTCCACGCTGCCCTCAGGGGGGCCGGACGGAGGACACGGGACACCCTCTGTCTTAGGCGGCACGCTGTGTGTGGCTCTACGGCGATCTCCACTAAAGTCCAAGTGGAAAGACCCCTGACCCGGGAAGCTCCCATCCAGGCGCGCGAGGAGCATGATCAACAAGTAAACGGTATCAGCTGTCGGACAGCAGGCTGTCGGCTAAATAAATCACGGTGATATTATTATAACGTTCCTACGATGGACCAGCTCAGAGCCATTAAATGTTGTAGAAGAATATTTAATGGTATCTGCAATTTTCATGATGTATGTATGGCTCACTGGAAAAGAATGAGGCTTCTAAACTGTTCTGTGCAACCCCAGGCTCTAACATAACGTCTTTAGGCAGAGAAGGCAGAGGGTGTTCGTCAAATGCTCTCGACAGCAGTGTCTGCGTGCAGGACTGTACGTGTGATTTGAGTTTTGCTTTCTGATTTTCTCTATATCTTCCAAGTTTCCTTCAAAGAGTTGATTATCACAAAGTAAAATGTTACTAAAAAAAAAAATGAAAAAAAGAAAAATACTCAACTGAGAAACAGAAGATGGGGCTTTTTTTTTTTTTTTTTAAAGCCTAAATCACAGTTTAGTTTCTCTCAAAGAAGGGAGATTCTGAAGACCCTGTGGGTCTGTGGTCAGCACCCCACAAGTCGGGTGACGGACACGTGGCCCCAGAGCGCCTGCTGGAGGCCAGAAAGGGGCAGGGACCCTGGCGAACAGCCGAGATGGGGAAGAAACTGGGCTCTTCCGGGCCTCAGAGCAGAGCAAGGGCCAGGAGGTGGGAAGAGGCAGGAGGAATTCGTTTCCGAGAGCCTGGGAGGCCTTCTGGGGGAGGCGGCCTCCCTCCCTGTCGGGGGTGTTCTCCACCCCACGTGAGCTTGCCCGCCGGGCGGGCGCGGGGACGCTGCTGACCGGGGCCAGGCTCTGGCCTGCTGTCTGCTCCCGACACACGAGGGCTTCTCCTTCCAAACCCGCCCTCCCACCCTGGTCTTGGCTTTCTTTCCCTGAGGGCTGCGGCGGGCGCTGTGGCCCCTTCTGTGTCGTTCTGTCCGGGGGTCTGGAGGGGTGAGCTGGCTGGTGGCCATGACCCTGCTCCCTCCTACAAGGCTCTGGCAGGGTGGGTGGCCTCCAAACCTCCACCAGGCAGCCCTCGGCCTCCCCTCGGGCACAGAGAAGGTGCTAGACTGGGGGTGGGGGCTGGGAGGGCGCGCAGGCCAACGGGACGGCTCGAAGCAAGAGAACTGTATTATCCCCCAGAAGGGCTGGCGGCCAGGGTCCTTCCTGCCCCTGCCTGCTCCGGTGGCCGCCAGCCGCCCTTGGCCTCGCTGGGCTCCAAGCTCCGCCCTGCTGCCACGTGGCCTCCTCCTCTGTGGCTCGGTCCTAACCCCCTCTTCTTGTCACGGACGCCAGCCCCAGGGCATCAGGACGCCGCATCCCGACTACGCTTCTGGGCTGACCCGATCCCCACCCAGTGCAGGGATGCGGGTGAGGCCGAGTCACCCCTGGTAACAGGCATG